CGCAAGTCTTTTACTTAGTGGGGACGAGTGACGAGTTTTAACATCAAAAGAACAATAATACCTAGTAGGTACTCTTATTATATGAGTTTATTTATAGGTATAGGGATAACAGATTTATTATTTAATTTAGGTGAAATTTTACTTTGGTATTAGTTTTTTATTTGAATTAAATTTAAAATGACATACTAATACTTCACTTGTCGTCCCCGTATATTTGTGAAATTTGACATTTTAGGCTACGATTTTAAGTAATAAATGGCTATGCCGGGTGTTTCTCAAAAGTGACTCACCTCTATAACTTTTTTATTTATTTTTTCAGATAAAAAATTGAGATTTCGTTAAAAAAAAATTCGAAATACTATGTTTATGGTTGAACCAAAAAGTGGACAATATTTTATAAAGTAACGCAGTTGCCCGAAAGTTTTTAAGTCTTTCAATCTTCAGTCGTCCTTTCGTTTTTCCGATGTAAGATTTTTTTGACTTACTTTTTTACACAGTGTATTGATAAATAAATTCTCTCTTGAGAGGTACCTAGTAGTTTTATTAGCGTTTTTCAAAAACTTTTTTATCAGTGGGGTCTACCTGCCCCCCTATTCAGCCGTCCATGCTTTAGGATAAATACGATGGATTCGTTTTATTCGTAACCCTAACCTTTCATAGAATAAAAAGGCTTGACCGCTCAGTCACGCCGTTACGAATGTTTATTGTGTTTTTAAAATTGCGTTGCAAACAATTTCAATGTATATATTGAAAGCGATTTACAAGACGTTGAAAGATAGATACATTGGACTTTACAGTAAATATTTTTCTTGGGTGTAGGTTAATGGAAGATTGCTAGAGGGTTTTGAATACCGATATTCTGAAACATTCCTCATTCATTTGGTTCTTTAATTTACAAGAAAGTTTAGGTTGTTTAGTATTTCTTACTTAACATTACCGCAAGTTCTGTATTCTGAAAAAAAGTTTTAATTTTGTACGATTATAAGTTAAGTTAAAATAAAATAATAAATTCTCAAATGTTGGTTTTAAATAACTTAACTGTGTGAAGCAATTACTGTCACAATTTAACAATTGCTATGGAGGCCTTTTAGGCGGACGATAGATATTGAGTTCATAAAGTCCAACATTCTTGTTTGCATCTAGTATATGGAGTGAGGCATGGAAATCATATTTCACCTTATTTGCGATTATCTGGACTGATTAAATATATTCAATAGATTTAATCTGCAACGGACAATGCCATATTTTAAGAACATATCTCATCCGTATTTATATGAAAGAATTACGGAATGCCGTACTGATATACATTACCTAAGTTTAAGAAGACAATAATAAATAACCTGAGAATAAAAAAACAAGACAATAAAAAACCTGAGAATTTTGTTTAAGTGTAAACCCAAAGTATGTACGAGGATGTATTTCAGAAAAATATTTTAACTCCTATAGGGTGGCTCAAAAATGTGTGAGTGGATCAGAATATTTTTTTTAAATGAAACACCCTGTATATTATTGCATTTTTAGCTTCCTTTCAGATCACTTTACATAATCCTAAGATATGAGTAAACATATTTCGATACAGGGGCGGATACAGGAATTTATTTTAGGGGGGCTTAAAATAAAAAGTAATGTAGAATATGCTTTTTAGGGCGCCATTTTTAACTGAAAAGCCTAAGATGTAACCCAATTTACAGATTTCAGGGGGGGGCCGGACCCCATGGTATCCGCCACTGTTTCGATAGTTTCAGAGATATTTATAAATAAATAAAAATTATATATTTTTCAGCCTTTCTTCTAAAAAATTATTAATAATACAAGAACGGTCCTGAAATCAAAACTATATTACGTATTTACTTTAGATGGTCTGTACTTACTTTTCTATAAATATGGAAATTGTAAATCATACAGGATGTTCAGAATTCTACGCCAAACTATCTAAAATATAAAATAATTTTTCTTCGCTTTTTTAAATGGTTCTAACGGATTTAAATGGATTTAACACCCGGTATATTATTTTTTCAATAGATGGAGAATTAAAAAATTAACATTTTTGTATTTAGAGCATTTCAAAATTTTTAACGGTTTCGCAGATATTCGCGGCTTTATATTTTATATGGCATTTTCCACAGTAAATTTTTATCAAAGCTATACCCAATGATTTTTCTCTCGTATTTTACCATTGTAAGCGCCATATGAAATAATACTGCGTGTATCTGCAAAACTATTAAAAATTTTGAAATACTTTAAATACAAAAAATGTTTATTTTTTAGCTCTCCATCTAATAAATAAATAATATACAGGATGTTCCCTTTAAAAAAACAAAGAAAAATATTTTATATTTGAGAAAGTTTGGTATAGAATATTGAACATCCTGTATGATTTATGATTATCATATTTATAGCAAAGTAAGAACAGACCATCTAAAGTAAATACCTAATATAGTTTTGATTCCAGAACAGGTTCTTGTATTTTTAATAATTTTTTAAGAAGGGTTGAAAAATATATATTTTTGATTTATTTTTTAATATCTCTGAAACTATCGAAATATATTTACTCATATCTTAGTATTATGTAAACTGATCTTAACGGTGTTTACACTAGATGCAATTGGATGCAACGCAATTTTTAAAAACGGCATGCAATTCGGTTGCACGCGCAATTTACCGTTTACATAGGGTGCAATAAAATACATACCATAATTTGGAGAATCTATTGTGCCAACCTAAATAAAATGAATATAACAACTGTTTCATTTATTTTTTTATTTTATCTTCGAGGTATCGTTGTGTATGTCTTATTAAAGGTTTTTAGATTTTGTAGTTTGAGTTTGTATTTTAATTTATTATTATTTGTACCTATAACCTGAATTGTAAAACAGAAACAATATTATTTTAATTATAAATTTGATTTTTTTGGTTGGTAGAAGCAAAAAATTGCATGCTAGGTGCAATCAAATTAGCGTGTGTTCTCAGCTGATCGAAAAGTGTCAGGTGCGCATGCGTTCGGGCAACTAAAATTGCCATTGCACCGTATTGCATTTAGTGTAAACAGGCATTTAAACGAAGCCAAAAATGCAATAATACACAGAGTGTCCCATTTAAAAAAAATTATCAAAAAATTATCCCGATCCACTCACACTTTTCTGAGCCACCCTATAGATGTTAAAATATTTTCCTGAAATATATCCTCGTACATACTTTAGGTCTGCACTTATACAAAATTCTCAAGTTCTTTATTCTAGGGGTTACAGATGCCCGACGCACTATTGCCGGACCCTGTATAAGTTTCCGTAACATCGCAAATAATTATGTAAGCCCTCATTTTCATATAATTTCGCAACTTTAATCAACTAAATGCGCTTATTGAATGGCAGTGGACATATACTATGTTTAAAAACGATTTTAAAATTAAGCTTCTTTAGACACACTATACAGGGTGTTACGAATTGTATTCGGAAAACTTCGGCAGCATACTCTGTAGATAAAAACAAGTAAAAAAGTTCGTATAAAATTAAGTCCTAAAATGTATCGTCGGAGATACAGGGTGTAGAAGTTTTATTTTAATTGGATTCCAAATGGATGAAAATTGGACGAAAAACTTTTCGTCCTTACCTGTATAAAACTAATAGGTAAAAAATATACATTACCGCCGGTTTTTACATAAAAAAGTGGCGTAACTCGCTACAAGTAATGGTTCTCAAGATATTTGGAATCGAAACGATCAATACATGACATCATTGACAAAAATTGAACATGTTGACTGGATAGTTATTAAACTAAAATCATAAATTTGGAATGTTTTTGGACCAAGGCTTCACCAGAAATTGGTTCATCATATATTTTTCTAGAAAAAAGTATGATTAATAATTTTAAAAAATCGAAAATTTATCATTTCTATCTAGTCGACATGTTTATTTTTTTGTCAATGGTGATATTATATGTATTGATAATTTGCCAAATATCTTGAGAACTGTTACTCGTGGAGATTTTTGCCTTTTTTACGTAAAAACGGCGGAAGTATATATTTTTCACTCAATAGTTTTATACAGGTACGAACGAAAAGATATTACTCTTCAAACCAGTTATAAAATATATGTAGGTGGCTTCCCCTACAAGTAGGAGTAGGATCAAATTTCTCATGTCAAAAAGCACCCAGATACCAATTTTCATCCAAATATCTACGTTAATTCAGAAATTATTTAGAAAAAAATTAAATAAAAATGAAATTCCTACACCTATCTCGGAAACGAAGCGTTTTAGGACATACATTTTGACGATTTTTTTTACTCATTTTTATCTGCAAGTTGGTTATGCTGCAGTTTCGCGAATACAATTCGGACTACTCTGTATATAGATAATATAAGTCCCGTTCTACAGTCGTGATCCGCCTTCCGGTTCTTTGCCGCCATTGCCTTCTGTTCATCCAGTCACCGGCTTCAGACACAGTCACTTCTTTACTAACTACTTTATCAACAAATCGTATAAACATCTCTGGATCGAGATATTTGTTATTATCAATATATTCAATCACAAACTAATTTTAGGTTAGTCTGTGATTCAATGTATTCATCTCATCCTATTTTTATTTCTTCCTTTCCTTTCCCTTCTTTTTCCTCTTTTTTGTGTACTTCTTTTATAATTATTTTATTTTGTTTTATCATTATTTAGAATGTAGAATGTAGAAACAGTCTACATTATATAAGTTATTATATATACTTTACGGCTGAAACAGGATCTAGATCTTTCTGGATGTCTACTAGGTATATAATGCATTTGTTAATTTGTCAGCTTCGTTAATTAAAAATTTGTACCTAATATATCTTTTCATTGTTCTTTGTAATTGGGCTTTTGACAATAAACGATTATTAATAGTATTAATTATGTTGACTCTTGGAACGTAAAAAATTAGCAATTTTTCTTGATAAATTTGCTTTGCAGTAATTTGTAAAATATATTTTTTTAAATGAACATAATTTAAATACTTATTTTTCTTTTTATTTCAGGTGTGGGAATGATACCAGTTAAAGAGTAAGTATAGTGTTTGATAAATGTATTGAATATTGCTTATTGATTCTGTGAGATTATATTTTATATTCTTGCATTGATACTTTTTTAATGATTATAATGACAAGACTTCTTTCTTGAACTCATGTTAAATAAAAAATTATTATTATTCCCACCTTTCAGATGGTTTAACGTACTTTTAGAATATTTTTATTTAGATGAGTTTGATTTGTATGAAATAAACTTCATAAACATTATGTATATTGTGGGCTGAGAGAAAAAAACAATGTGCACAATTTAAAATTATTTCGAAATATACAGAGTGTTTTAGAACTAAGATCCATACCAAAGTTTTATTTTTTGTATGGAACACCCGGTGTTTTATTTAATTTTTGTATTCTTGGGCCCAAAAAAAGGTATTTATTATAAGTATTATAAGGGTTAAATATGTTTAAAATCTTTAATTTTTGTGATATTTAAAGATATTTAAATATGCATGCTACAATAGAATAGATTATCAACAACCTCTACAGGGAGGGTCAAATTGGACGCTTTTAAAGGGAACACCCTCTATAGGGAACACCCTCTATAGGAGATAGACGAAAACTAATATCGATGTCTCAATTTTTATCTAAAACATGATGGTGAAAACCGCACATCGACATCTGTTACCGTTCCGGAGTTACGGAACGGTAACAGTTTTCCGGAACGGTTCCGAACCGTTCCGAAATCGTTTCGGAACGGAACGGTTTTTAAAAAATCTGCATTTTTTAAAAATCGCTGTAACTTTTTTGTTATGAAAAATTTTGTATTTTTGTGAAAACAATTCCAAAACGCCTTTTTACGTAGAATTTAATGGTTTAAGTGTATTTTTTTTAAATTAATAACTTAAGAATTATCAACATAAAATCTGATTTTATATATGGAACACGTTGTATATTTTTAATTCATTGAAAATAATTTAACTTTACTTTTCCAAAAATGTAGCATACTTGATATTTTCCTGTTCGAGATATAGAGTTTTTAAAAATTCGCCTACTTTGTATAAGTAGGCTTTGAACGGCGCCGGGTGTAATGCTAAAAATTGTAGCTGTAACCAGAAATTAAAACGAAAATAATATTTGCAATGAGAGATGCAGAATTTAATAACAATTTAAACTATATTTAACAACATCAACACATTTAAACTATATCTAATAACAATAAAAATTAATAGCAAACCAAGATATGAGATTTTGCTACAGGTGTTCGACATGTCGACCGTCTTCTGTTATGGACAGACGGGACCGTTTTTGAACATTTCTCGCGGAATTAATTAAGGGTGCGTTTATGTTGGAGCGGCGATAAATGATAAGAGCAGCGATAGTAGCGACGCAAAGAATATTATTATATTAAGTTATATGTAGGTGTTTATATTGGAGCAACGTGTCGAGACACGGTTGGCAGTTGAGCAACGATAAGAGCAGCGCTAATTCACTGCTTTTATCGTTTATCGCAGCTCCTACATAAACGTACCCTAACTCAATGGGGGTAAAAGATACCCTCGCATAACGGCTAAGTACTTCTAATTCTTGTTTAGATTATACGGGCAATTTAAAAATAAGAACCTTTATTTTTTCTCAATGATAAAAATCCATTAAGGATAACAGGCACTAAGTCCGGCGGCTTCGACGGCCAACGGCTGGAATCTTGGTTAGCTATTCAATTATTCTCGAAATTGGCTTGGTGAGCTCCAGACACCGATATTATTTTTCATCTATCTCCTATAGAAAAGGGTGTTCCCCTTTAAAAGCGTCCTAATTGACCCACCCTGTACATCACTTTTCAGAGTTAATTCTTGTGCTGAATAGAGAAATAAACTTTACTATCTATCTCAGATTTTGAATAAACATGGCTCAGATTTTGAATAAAAAGCGATTTTTCAATAAAATTGTAATCAAGATGGCTGGTTAAATTAAATAAAGTCCATAAACTAATGTCGATTTTGAAAATCGCTACTAAGTGTCACTAGAAAATTGACATGGCGACACCAGCCATCTTGAATGCCATTTTATTGAAAAATCGCTTTTTATACAAAATATGAGCGAGATAGGTATAGGAAACCCTAATATAGTTTGAAAGAGCATTTAAATCTGCTTCGACTTATTTTAAAATATACATATTGTTGCATTTGAAATAACGAAGTTTTTATGTAAAACAAATATTTAAAATAGACTAGCAATTTTTGGTACCCCTGTATACATTTTAGGAAGCAATCAAATTTTGTAGTAAAGTTTATTTCTCTGGCTTAAAAGTCAGTACAAGTATTAATTCTGAAAGGTAATGTACAAGGTGTTGACGAACTTTTTTATTATAGCATGCATATTTAAACATCTTTAAATATCTCAAAAACTAAAGGGTTTAAACATATTAAACCTTAATAATAAATGCCTTATTTTATGCCCAAGAATCCAAAAATAAAATAAAATACCGGGTGTTCCATAAGAAACAGTATTAGTTGCACAGTTGCACCACAGTTGCACTTTGGTATAGCTTAGTTGTTCTAACACACCTTGTACATTTGAAAATAATTTTAAATTATGCACATTGTCTTCCCACATATACTCATAAAATATTTTGCTTCTATATCTTTCCGTTTTTGTATAATCAACCGAGGCGAATGAGGTCTGCCACCCTGTATATTAATAGAATTATTTACATATAAAATTTAACTGTACGTCAGTTGTTACTACTATATTCACCAATAATAAGAACTTGTAGAATGATTTGGGGAATATTATTCTAGTTCTACTACGTTAACTGTGTTGACAGAATGCTTTTTTTCTAAATAGAGATCAATCATGAAGTTTCATCTAATTTCTTCTAAAGAACGGTTATAATTATCATTTTCTACTTACATTACTTTTAATAAAGCTAACTAAATTTTGCTTAAATGTAGGAAACAAGTTGCGTTTGGTAAATTTATTTTTGGTTTTGGATCTTGAGAAGAAAGTGTAGGAAATGAAAACCAATGCTAATTTATGATGTTTTTCAGACGTTTTTTTCACAACTTTATTGGCGTGAGTTATGAGATCTCATAGTCAACAGTTACAATCATTTGTTGAATTTTTCTTATGATGAGAAATAATTTTATTAAGTATGATCTTTTTCCAATCCTCAGGCGAGATATCATTATAGTTATAGATATCGTCAGATGCAAAAGTCAGTTGCAGCCATCTATAAAATACGACAAAATTTCCTTATTTTGAGCTATTCAACGTGTGAAAAATCTTTAGTGATTTGCCTCTGATTATGATACCAGTAACTTTTATAAACATAATTTATAGATTAATAATACAAGAGCAGTAGGATATGACCGAATCAATAACACCGAATTTTCGGCGCACATATTTAGATTACTTCAAGAATACGAATTAAGATAAAAATAGAAATTAATTACATCGCACTCGAGGGTCTTGTAGGAGCTCCTCCAAAAAAGTTAAAACTGAATTTTTACTCTCGCCAATCTCAGCAGGGATCTCTCTTGTCTGAATTGTACCCACTGTGGCTCGACCCGCTGAGCTTCAAATTGAGTTCGCCAGAATGGAGGGACTCAATCTATTGGCGGTCGGTGTACCTTAAAGGTAGTTTAATATCTAGTTATAGCTCCAGCAACCACCAGATTTTTTTTCGGTTTGATTTGGTTTGATACGGTTGATAATCTTCAATTAGTTCGGTTAGCATTCTTTAGTAAGTATTCGGGTAGGGTCAAGATTTAAGTGAAATACTACATTAAAGGTACTTTTAGACACTAAATTCAGTTTTTCGTTCAGTTTCAGCCTCAGTTCAGTTGTCAGTTCAGTTCAAAAATAGCGATCAATTCAGACAATCAGCTGACTTTTTATTATTATCGTGCACAGTGCAGTCGCCATGGACGATGAATAGTTGATTGCATTAGCTTTGGCCTTAGCACTGAAGAAACCAGGCTTCTAAAGAGAATTAGCTGTCTCATGTAAATTTAATGAAGGAACTTTACTTTGAATCTTGTGATTAGTCAAACTACTTACGAAAGAATGAGGATCTGATGAGCATTCTTGCTACATTTAGTATTACTAGTTTTTTAGTTACAACTTTGTTTAGCAAGTACGTTTAATTAATTTAACAATTTTAAAGCCAAAATACGTTTATCTTAAAACCCGTGGTATACGTGACTTTTCTAATTTTTACGTTGTTTTACAATAGCATGCCTTGAACTTGGCCCTGGGGTGTCGTAAAAACGTATAGATACGTAATATCAAGAGACTGGTGCTTGTTGTAATATATTAATTTTACATTTTTCCCCGCATTTATGGACATTTTAGATAACTTATGTGAAGTTAGGAGGTGTTGAAATTTATTAGGTATCGGTATATTACTTTGTTTGCGTGTTAATAGAGCTTTGACACATCTGTGTTTAATAAAGCTATAAACTAATTGATTTTTTAATAAATTTTATACTAAAAAGTGTCTTTTAACTAAACGAACTTGTTACAGTGTTGTTGAAGTTTAGTCACTGCGGTTTGGGATACTCCGTATCTCTTTAAGATAATATTTATAACTAATTTATTATATTCTATTTTAGCCGAAGAACTGACACCTTGAGTTGGCAAATCGTCACAGAGAGTAGTTCACCGATCAGAGAATCGCCACAGCTGGGAGATAAACTTAGCGATGTCAGAATAAACATAATGGTGGCTCCTAAAAGCAAACTTGGCTGCGGGTAAATATGACAAATATTTATAAAAAAGTTTGCTTATTGGCACTTTGGCACGCACAAATATTATTTAGATGAGTAGATTTTTAATTAGAAAAAAACGTTAAAATTCAAATGATAAAATATCTAATTTGATTGTGTTTGATCGAATAGAAATATCGCCAAAAAAACTGGATACTATTAATCAAGCTTATGTGTTTAGGATATGTAAAGGTCCTGAATGGAAGCCAGGGATATTTGTGCAATTCACAAAGGAAGGAGGGGTTGCTAGAGAAGCAGGACTGCGACCTGGTGATCAAATCTTATATGCCAACAACATTGATTTTTCGGATATTCCATTTAATGAGGTATTATATGTTGTATTATAGGTATATAGGGAAATTAAAATAACTTTGGTTGCACGTCATAATACGACCACGTGACGTGCAACGAAAGTTGTTTTAATTTCCCTTTATATATGTATACAGGGTGGTCCGAACTCTATTCCGGAAACTTCAGTAGCGTATTCTTCAGATAAAAACAAGTAAAAAACTTCGTATTAATGTATGCCCTAAAACAGAAATATAGGGTGTAGAAGTTTCATATTTATTTCTATTTTTTCCAAATAACTTCTGAAGTCACGTCAATATTACGATAAAAATTGCTGTCTGGGAGTTTTTTGACATGAAAAATTTGATTTTGATGTCAATATGACTCTTATTTGTAGGGGGCGCCACCTACATGTGTATGAACTGTTTTGAAGAGTAATAACTTTTCGTCCGTACCTATATAAAACTACATTTTCGTCACTTTTTACGTAAAAAATGTCTCTTGGTAAAAATCGCTACGAGGAACCGTTCTCAAGATATTTAGAATGGAATACATGTAATTTTTAACAAAAAATAAACACGCTGGGTAGATAGTAGGTTTGTTCTCACAGCTGTAAGAAACATATTTCCAACAGATAATCATGCGCAATAGGGTAAAACGCGTTCGCACAGAAAATTCTGATTGTTAGCTGTCAGACCTGTTTGCGGATCTTTTGCAAGTAAGTGTCCGGCGCATGTGTATTGTGACCCGACGTCATTAATTTGTAAACTTAACATACAAAACGGGTGTTGTTTTTGTTTAGTGTTTTTTTTCTTCAAAAAATAAAGAAAAGAAATGAGCGATTTTGAATCTTCCGAAGTTTCTAAGGCGTCCGAATTTTTGGATACAGACACAGACCTAGAAGAGCTGATGGGGAACGGGTCAGGCCCAAGAATCAAAATTACAAAACAATAAAACATTAAAAAGAACAAAACCAAAAACATTAAAAGATGTCTTTGGTTAATTCCCTGTTCGTTTTCTTCTTTATTCGGTATTACGAGTTAAAATTAGTGGTATTATTAGATCAAAAAAGAAGAGATTCGCTGTTCGCACAGACAGTTTGAAATCGCCAAGAAACTGCATTATTTGAGACCTGCGCATTAACACCGGTTTGGAAGAAGTCACAAACAGGTTGGGAACATGTTGGGAACACGCTGTGAGAACAAACCTAGAGTTATTTGACTGAAATAATAAATCTAGAAAATTCTTATTTTTTTTAAATTAATCATACATTTTTTGCGAAAAATTATGATAAAACAGTTTTTCTTGAACTTTTGGCACCTTTGTTTGGCACAAAAACATTTCAAATTTATGATTTCAGTCTAATATCTATTTAGTGAACATGTTTAATTTATGTCAATGATGACAGGTATTGATAATTTGGATTCCAAATATCTCGAGAACCATTACTCGTAGCGATTTTTACCAAGAGACCTTTTTTACGTAAAAAAACGTTGTGAATGTATATATTTTTACTCAGTAGTTTTATACAGGTACAGACGAAAAGTTATTATTCTTCAAAACAGTTAAAATATATGTAGGTGGAGCCCTCTACAAGTAGAAGTCATATTGACATCAAAATCAATTTTCTCATGTCAAAAAACTCCCAGACACCAATTTTCATCCAAATATTGACGTTACTTCAGAAATTATTTGGAAAAAATCGAAATAAAAATGAAACTTCTACACCCTGTATCTCCGAAATTTTAGGACATACATTGATACGAACTTTTTTACTTGTTTTTATCTACAGAATACGCTGCCGAAGTTTTCGGAAGACAATTCGGACCACCCTGTATAATGTTTTACTAAATTAAATTAACTATTTCGACAATACAGTTGAGGTTGGAATATATTATGGTACTAAGAAAACAATAGTTCATCATAATAATATATCAAAACACACTTTACTTGGAGTAGTGAATGTATGATTCGTTAACCGCGTCAGCATTATAAGCAGATGATTAAAACGGATTCTATTTTAGTTGTCTGCTATTTGAAACAAGTCTGATTAATTTTAATTTAATCAAAACTATGTAACTACCATTATCAAAAGTATGCTTAATAGAATCATTTATTATATATGTCACTGTAAATGTCCGAAATGCGGTAAAACCTGGGATAAGCGCGCTTAACCTAGGATTTACCAAAGACAAGTGGTAAAAGCTCGAAAACTTCTTTATTTTGCTTCCATTTCGGACTTTTACCGGATCCAAATAGTAAATCTTAGGATTTACCACACCGTATTGGTAAAGTACGAATTATTTTTCTTATAGCAACAATATCGACAAATTAAGGATGTCGATATACAAAGACATCTCTGTTTTTGTTTACTTAGGCATTGAAATTTTAACGATTATCGTTTCACGATATCGATTTTTGTAACGTATCAGTCTTATATTTGTTACTGTAAATGTCCGAAATGCGGTAAAACCTAGGATAAGCGCGCTAAACCTAGGATTTACTAAAAGCATTAACTAATTAGGTTAGCCTGGTTATTTGGAGGGTGTTAATGCATTGGTTAGCCTGGTTATTTGGGGGGTGTTAATGCATTGGTTAGGTGGTTATTTGGTGGGGTTGGTTGGTTTTTACTACCGCATGCTCATTCGTACTTTTACCAATGCGGTGTGGTAAATCCAAAGATTTACTGTTTGGGTCCGGTAAAAGTCCGAAATGGAAGCAAAATAAATAGTTTTTGGGCTTTTACCACATGACTTTGGTAAATCCTAGGTTTAGCGCGCTTATTTTAGGTTTTACCGCATTTCGGACATTTACAGTAACATATATATACTTTGAATATATTTAACTATACTAGCCCGCCTAGTCTGGCCTGGTAACAATATATTTTTCAGTGGAGGTGATTTATCCGCGATTTATCCGTGCACAGGTAAGATTGACTTCCTTATATATTCTTTTTAGACATCGGGTCTCTCTATCAAACGGTATTGAAACATATAACCATGGTACTCAAGCATAATTTTTTGTAGAACTATTAATAATAAAAATAACATAATTTCTATGTCTATGCTATAAATATCGATACGATATTATTGAGTGGAACTGAGTACATTGTTGTTGAGTTTGAAGCGAATGACAGAAGTATTGAAAAGAGAGTGTGAAAATGTTAGCAACGAACAAGAAGCCGAGAAGCCGAGAAGCCTTTTGTATGGAGATAAATAGTGTCCAATGAACTTATTTTCATTCCAAAAATACGTAGTAGTTCTAGGTCCACGGAATATGGGGACACCCTGTATAACGACTTTGGAATTTCATGTAGAATTCAACAATAAAAAAATATATAGTGGTTCTTCTATCTAAAATAAGCAAATTTGCAGCTAATTTTGTTCGCGATTCGCGCGATTCTCACTATAACGTACCGTCATCGTCATGTTGAGACGCCGCGCAGCGCCGCGCCGCGCGCCCTCTCAACAGAAAACATGAAGTAAATGGTATATAACTTATTAGGGTGGAATGAAAAATCTCAATAATGAAATTTCGGCTTGCTATACCGTGCAAAAGTTGCCTTAGGTGTATACTAATATAGTACCATAATAAAAAAAAATTATTAAATTCGGATAACATCTTCCGATCGCGCAAACCGCCGAAAGTTTTCAAAAAATACGAATTTTATAGTTTTTTGCATTTTTTTTCTTAACTTCAGGTTTGTATTTTTTAGCGCTATGGTGCTTAAACGTTAGTAATAGTATTGAGTTGCTTGCAGAAAAAAATATTGCCTCTTTTAAACCATATCTTCCGATCGCGAAAAGCGTCTAAATATTTGCAAAGAATGCCAATTTTTATTTTTTCCCGTATCTAAGTTTATACATGCAAATGTGCAGCTCTTTGCTTGCTTAGAAAATAATCTAATTAATTTTAAATTATTATCTAAACAACCCAGAACTCACCACGAGGAGGTGGTTACACTTCGAGTTTGTAGTCTGCCTTACTGGTGATATACTCAGACACTTCGAGTTCCACCCACAACCTTCTCTCCATCCAACCATTAAAAGTGTGTGCCGATTTATTCCGACCCTTCCAATGTCACTTTGTAGTCTGCCTTACTGGTGATATACTCAGACTCAACCATTAAAAGTGTGTGCCGATTTATTCCGACCCTTCCAATGTCACTTTGTAGTCTGCCTTACTGGTGAATTCGTTAATTACTTCTCTCGATTTGAGTGTTGCCCTAATGTATCCATCCTTTGATTGCGGCCCGCATACCTTAAGAGAAGCTTCGGTAACTAGCTTCACGCAACGCTCCACAGCTTGCGTGTGACATGGGAACTCTCTTATATCACAATCCAGGGTCTCACCCGATTGTATGAAGCTTTTGATTTCTTCATCGCTTATTCCACGGTTAAGAGGTGGTGGAGATATTTTTTTAGTGCTTCAATCTATCATTTTTGTGTAATCAAATGCGTCAAATTTAAGTGAAGGAGTGTGAAAGTTCCTAATGCCTTTTCCAGGCAAAGCAGACTGTTTGGCCTTTTAGCATTCTCCTGAGCCCTAACTCTCTAATATAGTGCCTCCTCTCATAATATAGCATTGCTATTAAAATGTTTTCAGGATGGGCGTAGAAAGAATTTCGTTCGATTACCGGGAATACCTTAGAGTGATGAATTTAAGGAACGCCTTAAATTCATCACTTAGGTATCTAGATCTTTCTATTGCCCGGTACACATGAATGAGTCCGTTTGAAAATCGGTTGTCACATTTAATTTTGAACCACACCGGCATATATAATTTCAAAATAAAAATAGCGATGATTATCAAGGCAATAGAAGGATTTAGAACACTAACATATTAGAGCAGAAGGACTATTTAGACAGGTAAGCCATCTGGCGTGGGAGATTGGACCGGGGACACAATTTGCCAAGTTTTAGGCTAGATACCTAAGTGATGAATTGAACGCAGTGGTACTCCCAGTAATCGAACGAAATTCTTTCTACGCCCATCCTGAAAATATTTTAATAGCCATGCTATTTGATTAGAGGAGTTACATTAGAGAGTTAGGGCTCAGACAGTCTGCTTTACCTGGAAAAGGCATTAGGAACTTTCACACTCATTCACTTAAATTTGACGCATTTGATTACACGGAAATGATTAGATTGGAGCACTATAAAAATATCGCCACCACCTCTTCTCCGTGGAATAAGCGGACGAATTAAGGGATGGGTACATTAGGGCAACACTCAAATCGAGAGAAGCAATTAACGAATTCAGCAGTAACGCAGACTACAAATTGACATTGGAAAGGTTGGAATATATCGGCACACACTCTTAATGGTTGGATGGAGGGGAAAAAATTGCAAAAAACTGCCAAATTCGTATTTTTTTGAAAACTTTCAGCGGTTTGCGCGATCGGAAGAAGTTATCTGAATTTGAATTATGCTAGTATACACCTAAGGCAACTTTTGCGCCGTAAAGTAAGCAGAAATTTCATGAGATTTTTTTGAGATTTTTCGATCCACCCTAACGTTGATTGTTAGCGATTCAATAATATTTACCCTTGTAGTCGGCGGCATGCCGCATGCCGGCGCGGCGGTCTGACTTAACGGTGGCGGTACGTTATAGCGAGAATCGCGTCTAAACCGAAAGTGTGATAAAGTGGAAAATATTTAAGAAAGTACATTTGGAAATATTCTTATCTCAACTTCAATCATTCAAATTTATATCTAAATTACATTCTAAAAAACTTTTAATAAACCTGTTGCGTAAAAAACTCTAATTTAATAATAGTTTTAATCATCCCCTGTTAATAGAAGGCGCCAAGTAAAGTGTAACGATATGTTGTGGTGAAATTTATTGTTTTATTTCTTTTAAACAATATTATCTCATTTCTTTTGATAGGCCAAGCAAATTAGAGGTGTCAATTGGAAAAACGTGTTGGAAAGGTAATTACTGATTTGCTTGGTTCATTTGACATTAAATTCTCCATCAAAGAGAAAACATTATTCTAGTCAGAAAAAATACAACTAAAGTTGCAGAGCATCAAATTCTGGGTTTAACGTGCATGTTAAATTATAAATTTGATCAAGTAGGTAAATGCCGAAAAAATGAAAATATTTTTAAATTTACCGTATTATGTTCTATAGTGCCCAAGACCACAGGTACCCCTCTATTCCTTCCAACTCTGTCTGAAATAACTTATAAAGTGGTATAAAAATTATATAAAGTGATATTAATTGTGAGATTCTTCAATTGCAGCATTCGAGATCTAGTATATAAACTTACTGAAAAAACCTACAATGTTAACTTTATGTGAGATTCTTCAATTGCACCATTCGAGATCTAGTATATAAAGTTACTGAAAGAAACTACAATGTAAACTTTATGTGGATTCCTGGACACTCTGACATTGCTGGTAACGACCGAGCAGACAAACTGGCTAACGAGGCCACGCGCTTACAGAATATTGAAGGAACTCCATCCGTTGTCGATTTCAGAAATTTCCATAAAAAAGTGTTCTTCAGTATACTTCAAAATAAATGGGACATCCTCGAGGGAACTAATATAATCATATATTATCGAAATGAATCCCCTCCGAAATACACCTTACGCAATAACTTAATGTTAATGAGACACATTCGTTTTGAATGCTTACCTGTTGCCTCCAATAGGTCTAGATTCGTTAATGCTGTTACCTATGAGAATATTTTCGCGCCTTTTGACATTTCGGAGATTAGTAAAGTTATGGAATTCTTACATAGCATCAACATAACGAAAAAACTTTAATATCTAATAATTTAAAATAACCTCATATTAACTAAAGCTTATTATTGAGCGCTAAAAAACCCTTGCTGTTGACGCGCTCTATAACCAATACCTCTCTCTCTCTCTCTCTTCGGCAGAAAGACCGTGCTGGTCGCCCCTTTTGGGATGTTTTCTTCCTTCATTGCAACCAGCCTTGCCAATTATTAAGCTTAGGTGCCGTGTATCTCCGCAAAACGCAGGGTATATAAAATACCTCTGGGTAATCCTTTGCAGCACCGCCATATTGGTCATCCCTCAGTTCAGCTACAATAATTTAAAAAAATTGAAAGCCAGGTTTTCAACAGAAATATCTCGCAACTAATATCTCTCGATAATACCACTTTTTAAGTAATTTCATACGGAGGTGGAAGGAATGGGAAGGTACCTTTCTCTGGCATTGAGGAGCATGAGCATAGGGCACGTTTCAGAATACTGAAATAATATCTAGAACGCAACGTTTTGAAAATGTAGGAGGAAATCTAAAAAAAGTGTAAACCATTTTTCCATCCTTTGGGCCTCCTTTCCCACCCTTTGTGCACGAGCACGAGCGACGTTCGAGCAAACAACCGTGCAAACCTAGGAAACTTCTCTTTAACGTCAAATAAACCAATCAAATCGGTAATTATCTTTCCAACACTTTTTTCCAAATGACCCTCTAATAAATCTTATTTGACTGGCCTATGAGTATACAGTTCGCATTGGTTTTTAGGCGGTCAATTTAATGAAGTCTTCGCGACAGTTAAGCTTGATCGTTCGAAAGTCGGCCGGCTCCGAGTTGTTTCCCGGTGAGTCAAGCGGCTACAACAGCTCGGCCAGCTCTGTTACCGGAGACCAAAGTCCCTCTTGGTCCGACTCCAAAAGACTTTCCATCGTGAAAGAGGAGAATTTGGATTTGGGAGAACGACTTAACCATTTGGACAAGTACAAAAACCGTATGTTGAACATATTTTTTCGTTGTACAAAGTCTACCATTTTTGTGTGTTTTATAGGGTTTCTTGTTTATGAGCAGAGATACAAAGATGCGATTGTCACACTACTATACTACTTTTCTATGAAACTAAAGATGTTACAAAAATTTGTTCTAGCCCTCTTAGTTCCTGAAGTACTTAAAAATGTGGCATTTTTGAAAATTTCCGATATCTTAAAACTGATTACAAAGGTGAAAATTGACTCCCTTATAGTTTTTACATAGAATTCATTGGCCTTCCTCAAACCTAACTCTATAAAACACACGAAAATGGGACATCGTGTACACGTACAGTGTCTTATTTTGGTTGCAATTGATGGTTAATTTTTAAAAGTCACCTTTTATCATGGAAATACAGGGAAACATGATAATTTTCTTTATGTCATCTTTGGTTTTTGGATCCAAATAAAAAAATTAGCTCACTATTCTGAAAATCTCAAGGTTCTATGTTTACTAGTAAGGGAGAAACCCTCAATTATGCCCAAAATCACTCACTCGATACTCTAATGGTATTAATTTGAATATTATTTCAGTTGTAAATGCAGAAAAATGGGATGCATGGGATGACGAGCCAGACGAGAAACCCCTATTTAAGCCTACTATAATTAACTTGTCCGAAAAAGGAAGTATCATTCGCAACAATGGTTCAGATGAACCAGTCATAGAAGAGTATGAGACATATAATCGCAGCATTCCTTCACGAAGTGGTGGAAATGGCTTAAGCATACCTCCAATGCCAACTAAAATCAATGGCATTTGTGACGAGTTGTATGCTGTAACACAAAAGCAAACCGAACCTAAAACAGTGGTGGTAGAAGTCCACAAACAAGATCAAAACGAGAATTACAATGTACAAAATGGCCATTTGCAGTTAGGAAAAAGCGCGTCGACGAGTAGTTTCTGTAGTATAGCCAGCAAGAGCAGCTATACGGGTAGTTTTACAAGTAGCATGACAAATAGTAGTTTATCTTCCGCCATTACGCAAGAAATTCAAAGAAGAGCACAGGTTTTTGGTTACTATTATGTTGTGGTATAAGTTTTCTCATTGCATTATATATTTTTAGAAAAAAGTCACAGATCAACAAGGTCCTTCTATAGATGAACAATTGCAGAAGAAGAAAATTTTGATGAATGTCAACAATGATCATCATTATCAACATAATAAATTAATGGATGAATTCAAAAGAGCCCATCAAAAGATGTTTAAGCCAAACGAATCTGGCGATAATCAAGATATACCTAACGAAAATATGGTAAGTTACAACATTCAACTGATTACATCACTAAGTGAAAATATGATCCTCCGTGACAATATGGCCTCGATTCCATATGTGAATGGCCATTCGGTTATACGATCACATCTGAAATGTAAATTGCATTTAATTTCATTCACAATAATTTCAGGTTTGAGTAATGGAATCCTGCATGACACCTTAATTTAAGTAATACATGTACTTACTTACGTAGTATTAAGTACATAGCTAATTGCTTGCGACCCCATAACTAGATTTATGAAAAAATGAAACTGGTATTTTGTTATATATATATATACATATTTTTTTACTTCTAGTCCAGAAAACCTATTTTTGATTACATTGTGGTTGGGGAAAAATTTCCTAGAGCCAGGAGCGCATATACGGGAGGGGTAATGGGGATGATTACCTCTCCCAGGAAGACATTTATAAATAAGATAAAATTTGGTATAAAATAAAATTGTCACAAAAAAGGTTTGGTTTGGTTTGGTTTGGTTAGAAATAGATACTAATATAATAATAATAGAAAATCTATAGCAATCCATGTATATTCTGTTCCAAAACAACCATGCGTTTCAGCGAATATTTAATTGAACCCTTTATAGGGCAGTACTAATTATTTTCTAGTTTGATCAAATTGACTTCAAAAAATATACCTACAGGATGTCCCAGAAATAAGTGCAAGCATTTTAAGGGCTGGTAGATCTCGATAAAAGAAATATATTTTCTCTTTATCGTTTTTCAAATAAGTCCAAAATAACGGAGTTATTTTACTTTGAAAATTTCCAAAAAAATGATTTTTTGCTAAAATTTTGAGAACCACTTGATCTTTTCTGGATTTTCTTTCTTGTAAATTAAATCTAATACCTAAGTTGCCATATTATCAAGAAATTATGTTTTTTTTAACTAAAAAATACCAAAAAAAAATTCAAAAAATTTCGAATTTTCTATTTTTTTTCCGTGATTTCTGGGATACCCTGTATAAACTGTATAGTACAAAGGGAGCATATCTCTTTAATGTCAATTTTCAAAAAGTTAACAAATAAGGGAGACGGGGCGGGGGGGTCGATTTTTCAACCAGAGACTGTTAAAGCAACTAGATAATATTTATGTAATGATCTAATATATACATTAGATCATTACATAAATATTATCTAGTTGCTTTGCAAATACCTTCATTCACCGTATACATCTCGGGACGAGCATGTGCCTAAGAAGGGGGCAGTGTTGCGGGCCGGTGTGGACTCGACCTAACCTCACAATATGGCCCGCCCTCGGATGACCTTAACATCGCATAGACACCGCAATGATTCATTCGTTCGAGAAGAATCGAGTCCCACTGGAATGGACTAGTACATACGAGAACATTCGAAAACCTTGTCTACGCACCTAACGATCTATGGACAATTCTAGAGTTCTTTACCTGTCGGTATAAAAGCCGGCGGCGGTGGCCTACAGGGGGCAGTTATAAATATACAGTTGACGCGCTAAAATTCAAAAATAAATTCTTAGTTATAAATCGTTTGTAAATAGTTCTATAAGTCTTTTATCGTTATTGTTTTTGTTAATTAGTGTTAAATAAAGAGTGTTTAAATAAATTGTGACTTTCTATCCACACGGAACCGACGAAAAACGTAACAATTGGTGTCAAGTGTGGCGTGTGTGATAGAAAAATAAAAAGACTAACGATGGCTCCAAAAAAATTGAAAGACCTGAAAGTGTCGGAATTAAAATGCATACTGGAAGAGAGGGAATGCGAGACAGATGGAAAGAAAAGCATTTTGCAAGCTAGACTGAGAGACGTTTTGATGGAGGAAGGTGAGGATCCTGACACATTTTGCTTTGAGTTGGAAGGTGACCTTGACTCGTGCCTACAAAAATTAGAAGACAGTTTGAATGACAAAATTACAGAAAATTCCCGGGAATTGCAAGACAATTTAAACGACAATTTGAATAGTAAAATAATTAACTTAGAAGACAGTTTGAAAGATAAGATTATGGAAAATTCCCAGGATTTAATTAATATTTTAGAAGATAAGATCGCAGAAAATTCTAAAGACACACAGGCCAGCTTTAATAATAAAATACTTAATTTAGAAGAAAAGATAACAGAAAATTCCAGGGAATTAGAAGAGAAGATAACAAATACACAAGACAAAATAACAGAGATTGAGGAAGATGTAAATAGAAAAATCGAAATTTTAAGAGAAGAAATAGCGAAGTCAAATTCACCAAAATGTCAAGAAACATCGGAGGGGCCGAAACTAGTCGAAAATAAGTATATCTCAAAGTCAGTTATTAAGCCTCCACAGTTTGACGGGAAAACCGCTTGGGCCAATTATTTTTGCCAGTTTGAGGCCGCTGCGAGAGCGAACGGATGGACAATCGCTGAAAAGGCTACCGCTTTGACTGTCGCACTGCGAGGAGATGCGACTGATATCCTGCAGACACTGTCACCATCGGAACAGGGAGATTATCAGCAATTGGTACGACATTTAGAAATGAGGTACGGCCAAGCTCATTTGGAACATGTCTATCATTCACAGCTAAAAAATCGCATTCAAAAGTCAAATGAGTCTCTGCAGGAGTTTGAAGCCGACGTAGCCCGCCTGGTTCGCCTTGCGTATCCTGCTACGCCCGAGAATGTTATGGAGCGGTTGGCAGTACAGACATTCTCCGATGGCTTACGTGACAGGGAGACAAGGCAAGCGCTTCTTCTAGCCCACCCAACGCGCTTGGTGGATGCTTTAGCACGTGCCCTAGAATTTGAGGCCGCGAAACAGTTCTCGGTCTCTAGTGAGAGTACGGGCGGTCAACCAATGTTCCGACAAATCCGTGGAAAGCATTGTACGGAAAGTCATGGAGGAGTACATGGGCAAGAAAGGACCGACTTGTTGCTGGAATTGCGGCCAGGCAGGACACGTAAGAAGTCACTGTCAAGAAAAAGACGTGGACTCGGTTTCGCCAAGTGTCGAATCAAAGGGACACATATGGAGCAGTACCCAACAGGTTCCAACGAAAACTGTTCAAGTCGCATCGCTACAACACAAGTTCAACAGCATTTTTGTGGCTAGTTTCGTGGATGGAGAGTTACGGACCATGCTGTTGGATACGGGTGCGACCAAAACGATCATCAGGCCGGATATCCTTAAAACATCAAAAAGGATTAAAACAACACAATGGCGACTACGTACAGCTACAGGAAGCTGCGCTCTCATCCATGGAGAGGTAGATCTTAATTTTGTTATCGGAAGCACCTGTTTTAATCATCGAGTGTTAGTAGCAGACATCGAAGATGAACTTATTCTCGGAATGGACATCGTGACCACTAGAGGTTTTGAACTAAACCTCAAACAAGAAATTTTGAAAATAAATGAAGAAGAAGTGGTTCTACATCGAAAATGTGAGGAGACGCTTCGCGTGGTAGTAGCAGAAGATGTTTCGATCCCTGAGCGCTGTGAGATATTTTTGGATGGTCGCCTGGAAGGTAAAACGAATAATGGGAGTATTATTCTGTTGGAGCCAAGGAACCATGACAGCGAAATAGGACGAGGGGTCGCTGTTGGAAAACCCCTGCTACGAGCGAAGAAGTCTGTACCGGTAAGAGTAATGAACACGAATTATCATTCTGTATCCTTGAAGAAGGGAACCCTGTTAGGGTACTGTTGTTCGGCCTCCTCAGTCATTCGAAGCGTGGAAGCCTCCAAAGTTTCGATTTCAAAAATTCCGGACAAAATGGTTAAGGAGTTAGTAAACGTTAAGGGATTATTTCCCGAAGATAGTAGAAAATTGAGAAACCTGATAATCAAGTATCAAGATGTGTTTGATAAAGGAGAAGCAGGACATAGAGGTCGTACCAATTTAGTACAACATAAAATTGACACCGGAGATGCACGACCAATCAAACAAAATCCGAGTAGACTGCCGCTCGCCAAACGTGAAGAAGCTGACAAAATCCTTCGAGAAATGAAAGAAGAGGGTGTCATCGAACCATCTAACAGCCCGTGGACATCGCCGGTAGTACTAGTAAAGAAGAAAGACGGTACCACCAGGTTCTGTGTTGATTATCGGCAACTTAATAATGTTACCAAGAAGGATAGCTATCCCCTGCCGAGGATAGACGATACTCTAGACACGCTGGCGGGGTCAACGATATTCTCTACGTTAGATCTGAAGAGTGGATATTGGCAAGTCGACATGGCGCCGAAAGACAGAGAGAAGACAGCGTTCTCGGTGGGCTCCGGACTGTGGCAATTTACCGTCATGCCTTTTGGATTGTGCAACGCGCCAGCTACCTTTGAGAGACTAATGGAGTCTGTGTTAAAGGGACTATCCTGGATACCTGTTTAGTGTACCTGGATGACATCATAGTGGTTGGGAAATCCTTTGACGATCATCTGAAGAATTTGGAAGAAGTTTTCAAGCGACTAGGGAGCTCTGGTTTGAAACTTAGCCCCAAGAAATGTCATCTGTGTCAAGAAAGGTACACTACTTGGGCCATGTAGTCTCCTCCCAAGGAGTTGCGGTAGATCCACAGAAGACCAAGACAGTGGAAGAGTGGCCGATACCTAAAGATAAACATGAACTACGAAGCTTTTTTGGGACTATGCACATACTATCGCCGCTATGTACAGGGTTTTGCCACCATCGCAAAACCATTGACCAGACTTACCGAAGGCGAGAGGCGTTTCTCTTGGGACTCAGATTCTGACGAGGCATTCCGAAAATTGAAGAAGGCCCTGACTAGTGCGCCCATACTTAGCTACCCTCTTGGCAACGGAAACTTTATATTGGATACCGACGCTAGCAATGTTGCGTTAGGCGCTGTTCTGTCTCAGATCCAGGATGGTCAAGAAAAAGTCATTGGTTATTTTAGTAAGACCTTGTCAAAACCGGAAAGGAACTACTGTGTAACCAGACGAGAATTACTAGCAGTAGTTAAAGCAGTGGAACACTTCTACAAGTATCTCTATGGAAGAAAGTTCTTGTTAAGAACAGAC